TCGTTTTTGAATATTGTTATCTTAGATTTTCGGCACAGATAATGTTTTCCGAGTTGAAATTTATTATACTGCTCGACGTCTGCAGAGATTATATCTTTGATAACACAATATTATTATAATAGTGAGTTTGTCCGGTTTTGGAGGGGTGGGGGAGGGGGTGGGGTCGAACTAAACATCATATACTGTAAACGTATGACAACTGCACGTGTTTGACTGCCGGACGTTCGTTGAACAAAACTTCGTTTTTTTTTTTTGTTAATTTTGTACGGTTCGGGTACAGACCGAAAGGTGTGGCCCAACAAAAGATTCGGGTATTATAAAGATTCGGGCGGCGGGTGTATAGATTCTCGGTATTCAATATTCACCCCAGACCCTCAAGATTAATATTTATGATACGGTCTCGGCTGAACTACTACCCAGTGGGCGGGCACCTATTATATTTCACTGTCGTCCCGACCCGAACGGCGCCCGTCATAAACAAAAAAAAACCGATCCTAGAGATTTGTGAGTTCTTTAGAAACACTCGTAAAGGGAAGAGAGCCGACCCACCAGAATAATATAATACGTCGCGTATAAGATCTCGTCTCACCCCTCCCCCCACTGCCGAACCTTTCGTCCGTGTAAAAACGCCGATTTTTTTCGAAAATCATAAATATATTTATTTTTTATAATAACGTTTATGACACACATCGAGAATATAATACAAGTACCTGGTGCGTTAAAGAACACCAGACACGAACAGGCGTCAGACGGTTTTTTTTTTTAAAAAACACGACTTCTCTTTATCCCCTTATACATTCGTGTTGGCCGGTCGTTTTCAAATCTCCGGATAGCCGCGCTAACAATACGAAACAAAATAAGTAACCTAACAAATGTTTTAACGTTTTCACAAAAACGCTATTGAATCAAATGCCTGTGTATACTTACGGAGTCTCTGTATCTCTTACTAAGAAACGCGTTCCCAAAGTAACGATTACTGGAATTGATTTGTTCTTTTTGGAGGAACAAATGAAAGAATTTATTCCATTATTTTTTGAAGAAATAGAACGTAAGTCAATTCATAATTGTAGATTCTGAGTATAGCAAAGAATGTATTGGTTTTACTAAGATGTTTTTTTTTTTTTTTTATATATATCCTGTGTACGAAAATTCTATCAAAAATCTTGCTCAGATGTATACACGCGGCACTATTTCTGAAAGGGAATGTTCTCCAGATGGTACTTTTGTGATGGTTGGTTTTTTGATTTACCAAGCGGTTTTCAAAAAATCTGGTAGAAACCAGAGTAAAACGTAAGAAAAACGGGAAATTTATGAAAATAAGGCTTAAATAATTTTTCATTTATGTTATTTGTTCTAATTCAGTTAAAAATATTCGTAGAGACATGAAATTTGAATATAAAAATTTAATTTGCCCTTTATAAACGTGGTAAAATTTTCAAAACATTAGAGCAATTTTTAGGCTTTTAATAAAACTTTTAAAATTTTTGCTGAAATTTTGTTTAAAATATTTGTATCAACTCTATGGACTTAAAATTTGGACAGACAACTTATATTTGCCTTTTTTAGACGTGGTAAAATTTTCAAAAAATTTAAACCATGTTTGAGGTATTTAAAGATATTTTAATTTTGAAAATTTTGTGGAACAAATCTAATTTTTAAGTTTTTTTTATTTTGAACATGCGTATATTGCCGATTTAAAAACAACGGTCAAGTCAGAATTAAGCGGACTGACTACGTTTCGAAATTATAATTAGCTTTTTGAAGTTCTGATATTATGCGGATTTTATGTGTTTAAATAATTCATTATTAATCAATAATGAATAAAATAATCAATTCATCTGTAATATAGTGTGTCTGTAGTAGCGTAGTGGTGGTGCGTCATCCCGAAGGGTTCAAACCACAGTTCTGAAAAAAACACATCTGGAAGATAACAGGTAAAACAATTGCATCTTGGGTGCACACCTATAATGGGAGACCACGAGTTGCGTCCCGTAAAAAAGGTACACACGAATCGCGTTCCGAAAAATCTAGGACGCACATCGTTTATTTTAATCAGGAGTTGTTAAACTGAAATAAAAAATAAATAAATAACAATTATAAATATAATCACGAGTCAATCGAAAATTAGCCTAACAAACGTAGTAAAAATATAAATGAATCACTTAAATCTAATCAAAATCACTATAGTCCGTATTATCATGAATTAAATAATTATCAACAACAATTAAAATGCCAGTAAAAAAAAATTATTGTAATGATAGCGATACGAAATCGCTTATTGTTGTTGTTCATCAACCAGGCATCGGTAACAAAATGCACCCATTATCGTAATTTATAATTTCACTCACGTAATATAATTTATCGAAACATAATATCAGACTCCCTTATAATGAATGCGTCACGGAGAACCTCTGAAAACGAAATAAATACGTACTGCCCAACCAATATAGTGGGACGCGATTCGCGCATACCTTTTTTACCGGACGCGACTAAGGTGCACCGCCTACAACCGCCGTCATAATATTACGTAATATGTTTACATTTTATTGAAATTACAAAATGCATTGTTCGTTAATTCATATTATATTAATCATGTCGTATGAACGTACGGATTGATTTAGAAAATCACTTTTAGATTCTGGGCGGAGCAAAGAAGCCTATGGTTTTACAAAGATGTTTATTTTTCTTCTTTTTTTTTTTTCTTTTGTAGACAACTTTTCTATCAGAAATCCTTACATGTGTAGTGCTTTTTCTAAAAGGGAATCTGACCGGGGTGGTAATTTAAGGAGATCATTTTCCTAATATTTTGGAAAAACTGGAAAAACATACAAATGTACAGTACAATATACATCTGTGGGCAATGATAAATGATTGCTGACTAAGATTCTGAGTAAAGTACCCACCAAATAAAAACTAAAAAAAAAAATGCCACAATTTTTACGATTCTCAATACCCTATTACATTTTGACCAACAAGGTCAAAACAGGTAAATCATAACCTAAATCAAAACCTAACCGGTTTTGTAAAATTTCTAAAATTCTTAATTACTGAGTACAGTGTACGACGAAATTCGTGTAAAATTTTCAGAAAGTCCAAATAAGCTATATTATTCTTTCATCATATTTTATGCGTACCAGGTTGCCTACACGGGTTCCCGAACAAAAACAGATTAGTGTATTTTTTAAATTTAATAACACATTTTTTTCGTATATTCGAATCATACAAAATTGGTACCTAAGTGTCACTCATAAATTTAAACTAAAATTTACTAAAAAAGTACAATTTTAATAATGTGGTCATTATGATCTAATTCAAAATAATTAAGTTATAACCAAAATTAATATTATAATAATTATTATTAATTCAATAATAAAAAAGAAGTCTTGTGAAACAATGAATTATGTGACATCAACGAGGCAGTGGTGAATTTAGTGTGCAATAAAACACACTTGGTACACTGCCAAAAATAAAATGGGTACCTGCCATTTGCGTATAGGTAATCGCATTTACTACCTCCGGCATACCAAACAATCGTTTGTAATCAAAATAGAATGCATATGTGAGTAAAAAATATATATAAAAAAAAAAGGTAAAATATGTTTTGCCGAAACCAGGGATCGAACCAGGGACCTTTAGATCTTCAGTCTAACGCTCTCCCAACTGAGCTATTTCGGCTATGAAATGGATTACAGCTTTGGTCGCTTTTATAATATATAACACCTGCATTGTAGGTATTGTTGGATTTCATATAATATGTAAAATACTAGATAGCGTTATTATGTTTAAAAAGACGTCCTAGGATAATGGGGACAGGTGCAGCCACTGTTATAGATAATTTAATGTATACGTGTAAACGTATACATTAACAATAAATCATTGATTACGAAAAAATAATTCCGAGCGGAGTTTAGTTGATAGTAAAATTTTGTCAACAATATATATGTCATTTTAAAGTAAAAAAATTAAGCAGGCTATATATTTTTTCTTTAATAATATTTGTTCAACGTTGTCCCGATTTTTCCAGTTTTCCTAGGTTTTTCCCCGTTTTTTCATGTTTTCGTACATTTTTCCATTCTTTCTACAGGGTTTTCGGATTTGCTCAATAATTTAATATACTACAAAGGAAATCCAAAAACAATTTTTTCATTCACAAACAAGTTTAAAACTGAAACAAAAAAAAGGTTTTTTAATGATTTTCTGTTGGCGCACAATGTTTGCTAGAAAACATAAGCTTTAAATATTAAAAATAAAAAAATCCTACGTTTATTTTCGATTTTTTCAACTCTTATTAAAACTGTTCGGGAAATTAAAAAATAAATAAATTACTCACTAACTAGATCAAAAATGCAACAAAAAACGAATCTTGACATCGTTCGATTTGATCAAATTTTTTGGTAGAAAAATTGTTTAGAGACAGAAAAATAAACATAGTAAAACCTATAGATCTCTCGCTAAGTTCCGAATTAATAAAAGAAACACACATCATAGTAAAATGTATACATCAAATAAATAACTAATATAAACTAAAATAATTTTAATACCTAAAATAATAAATTAAATTAAATTGTAATCTTTTGCACGTTTATTTTATTACTAATAAGGAATATATTAAATACAAATGTGCATTTGCATTTTAAATTTAAAAAAAAAAAACAATGAATTAAATAAAATAATAATAATTAATGAATAATATAAAAATGGTGGAATACAAACTAGGAATAAAATTAATAAAAATATACAAATTGTAAACTGGTGACACAATAAAAAAAAAAAAAAACAAACATATGTATCTAATAAATATAACGCGAAACAAAAGAATATAAATAAAAATGATAAAAATGGTGAAATGAAAACTAGAAATGAAGTGTTGCACTTTTTCTGAAAGGAAATTTTATATACTTGGTCGATTTTTGATGTTTCGAATGATTTTCATACAAATTTGGAAAAAAAAAAACGAGAAAATTTAACGAAAATAGTACTTTAATTATTTTCAATTGAGTTTAATTTAGTATTTATGTATACATGTGTAGTAAGAATTTTAATAAAAAAATTTGACGAAAATCGTAAATATTACGGCATTTTAAAACGCGTATAACAAAGCTTCGCGCCAAATAATTTTTTGTTAGAAACGATTTATCGTTACACACAGATATAAATTATATTCCACTTAATATCACACCCTCTCAACTTTTCACCTAAAACAGTGGCTTACCTATTTTGCGAGATACGTGCATTTTTTAAATATAATATATTAAACTATCCCTAAACATCTATCATGCCGACTGAGACCACTATTCACTGCCGCACCCCGACGCCTGACAAAGCCATTTGGTTAAATAATACACAACCAATTCAGTAATTGTTAAAGAATAGAGATTAATTGACCAATTTACTCAATTAACGACTAATAACTAATTTTTAGTTAACTTAATGACTAACGACTAATGACTAATTTAGTCGACTAACGAATAATTAGTAGATTTATTTCAAACATTTTATATTAGTTGGTTGTGTACGTTTTTAGCTGACTAACTATTCGGTAGTATTCGATACAAACCGACTAATAACCAGTAGTAATGAATATCCAGTTGCGCCCATCACTAATATTTTGACTTTTTAATTGCATAAAAATCAGCGCCTTAGTCATGAATAAACACTGATTATGAAAACCGCTTGGAAAATCAAACAAATAACCACAATGCACCAACTATAGATCCCGAATACGAGAAAGTTGCTTATCATTTTTTGATGATAAGAATATTTCTGTTGAAAAAATTGTTCGCAGAATGAACAAAAAAAAAAAAAAAAAGGAAAATTGTAAATACTTTACAGAAAAACTAATACATTTCTCGATTATAAGTTTAAAACATAAAAAAAATTCGGTTCATGATATATTCCCAAATAAAAAATAAAAGATTAAAGAGTTATAATCTAAACATAAAGTTGGTACATAATATTATATAGCGAGTTTAAGTTTTTTTATTTAGTGCTTTTGGCGTCAACTTCGGCCATGTGTTTCACAAGGTCCAACACCCTGCACGCGTACCCCATCTCGTTGTCGTACCATACGCCGATACTGATCAGGTTGTCGATGACCTGGATCTGGTGGAAGTCTACCACCCCCGAATACTGACAGCCGATAAAGTCCGAACTTACAAACGAATCGTCGACGTAGTTCAGCACGTCCTTCAGTTCGGACTGGACTTTGCTCACGATATCTGCTTTTATGGCGTCCACTGTGACTTTTTCTTTGACGCTGTATGATGGGACCGGTAATTATACGTTATATGTATGTAGCATTAATAGTTTATTGATACAATAATGGTAATGTTATAAAAATATCTATGACGTTTAACGAGCCGGTTAGAATTTTTAGAAAATTAGAAGACCGGATTATAGATTAGCGATGAAACGGCGCTGGAGTGACGTATATCTGTACTGATGATTTTGCAAAAGCGGTGGATATTAAATATGGAATTTGTGTCAGATTGCAATATAACGATGACGCTCTAAGTAAAAATAAATTATTATTCAATCTGCTCCAAAATTATCATCCAAATATTTGAATTAAAATAATTGGCTATGAATAATTATAATTAGTTTATTTACTAGGTATTAATCTATATCCATTATTATTATAGAAGTTTGTATTGGTTATATGTAAAAAAAAGAAAATATAAATATCTAAACGTTTTTTTTTTTTTTCATTAATTATTATGGAGACACATTTTAGATTTGTATTATTAAAAATTAAATGAATTTGTATTTTGAAATAAATAGGTTGAGTTATCATGTAAATAATATAAAAGCGTTGTAAATAGACCAAGGGGGAGTTATATAAATCCCTAACCTCTCTGCCCCCTAATACGCTATTACTACCCGATAAGAAACAAATTAAAGGAATACCCTTTGAGGGTTGTACTCACTTCATGAAAATTTTTAACAGGGACACGTTGAGCACGGGAACTCTGGCCGCGTCTGCGTGCACTTTGTCTTTTAAATCCGGAAAGGTCGAAGAGAATGCCACCGCAGCACCGGTGGAACTGGACATGATGTTCCCTACACCGGATTTCTGAAAATATAATTCATTTACAGCCTTGCTATTCGTGGTTTCCCACGTTCACGTTGCACTTACGAAACCCAATCCATCGTGCACGTGCTGGTTAGGGCTCAACGGGTGTGTGGTTGACATCATACAATTGAGGACGCCAAATTTTTTGTGGAGGATTTGGACAAGAAGTGTGGCGCAGTTGCCCGTGCTTGACCCACAGGACACGACGTTCACGCTTTTTTTGTAAGTCTCGAAATTTCTGCCTTTGATAAACATTGGAATGTCTTTGGACAGTGTGGTGGTCAGCACTTTTTTCGCACCCGCTTGAATGTGTTTCTAAATTAGTGCAAACAATTATATTTGGTTAACAATTTTATAACGGTCAGCAAGCAATTGGCTATTATCTAGTAATAAAATGGTCCGATAATCTTCTTACTTCCCCTAACTGGCGACAACAGTATAATATAACAGGTATTCATAAAAAATTGTATTTTAAAATCTTCATAATGTATTGATAATAACAATAATAGTATAATTATTCATATGAGCAAACAAATAAAAATTGAAATCAATTTAACTTAAGTTGATAGTTCAAAAAAATTAAATAATTAAAATTAACTTATCATTTTGTTAATGTCCAGCCTTACATTTGCGTGTACGTAACACTAAAAATTAAGAAAACAACTAGCTATCAAAAATCGTCAATGTAGTTAATATACGAAAATAACAAATATAATCGGTTGTTACAATAATTATTATATATTAACTACTCGATGACGAGTTTTTCAAATGAAAACAACCAATATAAAGAACCGTTTGTATGCTAGTGTTTTAAATATTTTTGTACACCAGTATAAGGTTATAATATTATTTACCATGGCTTTTTGGTTTTCGTCGCATTTCCCAGACGAATCGATCACATATTCGATAGGTACGTCTTTCCACTTGATTTTCTCCACGTTTTCCTCGTGAAACACTTTCACGTGTCTACCTGCAGTTTACCAGAGAAACAAACTCGTTCGAGATTTTGATCGTTCGTTAAATTTATTTTAATTAATTTTTGTTTTTCATTACCATCGATACAAAGGGTATCGTTGTATATTTTGACTTTTTTGTTAAATGTCCCGTATACCGTATCGTACATCAACGCGTTAGCCACAGCCTTTATATCGGCTTTCGGTTGATTGACAGCAACAATCTTTTAAAAAAAAAAAAAAAGTGGTGATAAAAGATGAACTGGTACTGCTGATGTGAACGCCACTGTTGGTGAGAAGCTGGGAAGGTATACATAGATATACGTAAAAGAACTTATCTGAGAATAAGCATAATACAAAATATTCCTTAAAATTTGTACTTGTAAAGAGTATAAAAAATATGACTACATTCGCTCAACGGTTATTTCCGTTTTTCCTGTGTAGGTATTCCCCGGTTTTCCGATTATGAAAACTATATTAAGAAAACTATAAAAAAAATTCAAAAAACCACCTTTTTATACAGTTAATAAACAAAAAAAATATAGAATGATTCTAAACTTAAATTTCTAAGAGTTTTGGAAAAAAAATTGAAATAATACAACTTTTAATGCTTTTAATTTCTCCGTTTTTCCCTAAACGTTTTTACCGCTGGTTTTCTTGATTATGAAATCTGATTAAAATTACCTCCTCAATGTACTTACTAGGTCCAAAATGATACAAAAAAAGCAATTATTTCGTTGATTGGAATTTGGATCAAAATTTCTGATTAAATTATTATTTTTTTTTATTTAAATATAATAATACTACAATAAATATAGGTATCCCTCACTACGTTCCGAATCTAAAATATAGACGCTTTAGTGAAATATATGAAACGATTTTTTTTTTTTGTAAATTATACTTGAAAGTCGGAACAGATTTCTGGTAAAACAAGTTGATTGTAGGAAAAAAAAAATTTTAAAAAAGAAACCATCGTTGTGAAATCAACACATAACTTGATTTGTTCAAAATCTAAAGTAACGTTATTTCACCATCACTGATATATTTTTACAGGAAGTATGGGTTTTGTAATAAGCAAGGCTCGAAAGTAAACGGCACCTAAAAAATTATAATTTTTAGGCCTTCAATAATGAACTTAAATCACCGAAATAAATATTATAAATAGCACTGAAAAATGTAAAATACAATTTTCTGATTTAAGCTGATAATAGTACACAGTAAAATGCGACTGATACGTTTTCAAAAAATAACCAAATTATTAAAATCAACGGAATTGTCCTATAACTTCACTTTTTTTTTTTCGCATGCGTTTAGTCGTATTATTTCAAAGTCATAGTAAAATAGCTCTATAAGTCCTGTGGAACAATTAACAATTCTGTATGTGGCATTAACGAGGCGGTGGTAATTCAGTGTGTACTACAACACACTTTTGTAAAAATAAATATGTGCTCTTATCATTTGCGTATAGGAAATCGCATTCACTACCTCCCGGATCCCAAACAGTCGTTTATAGTTAAATTGGAATACATTGTTTGCATACTACAGAAATTCCAATCAAATAAAAAGAGCCGATACTGGGGACCGTTGCGGTCACTGTTGTAGGTGGGTAGTTAAGTTTGGGTATACATATAACCAATGAGTACAATTTATAATAAACCCCGTTGTCAATTTTCTAGCATTACTGTTTAGTCGGACAAATCAATCCACATTGGTACTTGCCTACCAAACGCAAACTAAAATCAAATTCGACAATGTAAAAAAAAAAAATAATAAAATAAAGCAAGCACGCATCATAGTAAAACCAACAGATCCTTCGCTACGCTCCGAATCTAAAATCTAGCGACCGCAGTGACATATGAAACAGATTTGTGTTTTTACTCAGAAGTCGGTATGTTCTCTTTATCGTCAAAAATATTACGAAAACGCTAACACTTCCGAGCCATGATAACAAGTCAACTATATTGCGTTATCACTGTTGTGCAATTTAATAGATATGTACTTACGTTAACGTTTGCATCGAACGACTGTCTAAGCACGGACTTTCCTATTCGGCCGATCCCGTTGAGGGCGACTGGTGGACCGGTGCAAAGCGCGCGGAAACCGGTCGAGTTTTTCAACATTCTATGCGCCGTTGACAATGCGTTTTTAAACATGTTTTACGCGATATGCGTACGACTTGAATAAACTATATAATGACGCGAACAATAACATATGTTTAAATATTGTTTACACACAAGACTATTTCGATTTTGAAATCGTTCGCTAAAGAATAATAGTGTTTAGTTTGCATGTTATGCATTCAAAAATAGTCGTTTGTGTTTGTTACAATACGCATGAGTGATATATATATACGTATTGCTATGGATTTCCCCGACGGCAATTTTTTTTTTTATTTTATTTAATATTTATTAAATAATGTGTTCCACGAAAATACGCCCGTTGCGAAAACGTTGAACTTTTTCCGTTATTTTTTATTAATTATTTACTTGACAAATTAAGACACAAACAGCTGTAAATCGTTAAATTACCATTATTGTGTTTGTCACCCTTATTTTCGGGAGTTGAACATCATTTGTGTGGCTGTGCGACGTGTGACGTTTGAACAGTGTCCCATTTACTCTCCTACTATCCAAACATATAAGTGAAATATTACTATCCAAAATTATTAAAAAAAAGATTTCTCTGATTCACTATGTAGACAAAAAATCACCTCTGATGTGTTTTGTCGAGAACGAGTTAAATACTTAAAGGATTGTAAAACGGGGTTATCTTCAAAATGTTTTCCCATACAATCAATGCATTGTAAATCATAATACTGCAGTGTTTTATCTCTGAAACCTGTTTAAAATGGCCTTTTCGATTTGTTTTACAGACAAAATCTAGACGAAAAACGTAACTGTGACGGTCTTTTAAGTTACTCGCTGAATAATTTTTGCAATATTCTAAATTTTTTTTTTTAACTAGTATAAAGCTAAAAAGTCGTCGAAAAAGCGACTTATAAATTGCTTGATTTCAACCTTTTTTTTCTAGAAATATCTACGCTAAAATGACCAGTTGCGGCGTAAGCGCAGGTACACGGCGTGACGTTACATTTCGATTCCTAAGCGATTTCTTAATGTTTTCATAATAATATAATTGCAATAATCATTAGGTAATATAATCGTTATAATAATGATTATTATAGAAGAAAAAGTGATAAAAAATAAATGAAATAAATATCTCGACGGTTTTTATTGTTTTTATTACAGAGGTATTAACTTCGCGGGGACCGGTTCAGGGCCGTTGACTTTTTTTTCGAACGGCATGCACGCGTCTAATATAAAAACCGCGGACATATAACAAATTAGAGCCATATAACAAATTACCTACCGTACGTCGAGTGGGTAATAATGGAACATATATTATTATTTGCATTACTTTCCATTATTTTCACGCGGGTACCTGTTCAGAAAATATAGGATACCTAAGTCAAAATAATATGGTCATCGTCGCGGCTACGACGACGTTAACGCAAACATTTCATAACATGCCATTATTCTCATTAGGTACCTAAATAAAATGTGTAAAAGTATTTAGTAGTTTAACGATTTCGCCGCCTACATACTCGTATAATAATTTATTGCGTTTAATTTTTAAATTCTTCAATTTTTTTTATAACCTAGTTAATGTAACGACGCGTGTATTACGACAGAGGCAATAATTATTTCTACGACGTGTGCATTGTTTTTTTTTACCCCCCTCCCCGTAACTACTTTTCTATCAGAAACCTTGTTGCGATTTTCAAGTGTAATAGGATCTTTAGCGAAAGAAAATATCGCTAGTTGATGCGTTTAAGAAGATGATTGTCCTCGTAGTTATTTGAATAACGGAAAATAACTAGGAAAAACGTCGAAAAGACAGAATCATTTATATATTATAATACCTAAGCGTACATTTGATATCGATACATTTAGATACGATATTATTATATTATTATACACTAAATCCGCTACTAGCTGACCCGGAAATACTTTGCTATTTTTGGATAATAGTAATAATAATAACAATAATAAAATAATAGTTTTCTCGTCTGTGATAACCAAATTATTATCCTTGTTACCGAAATAATCCACGAATAACCAAAAAAAAAAAAAAAAAAATTTATAAAAAATTAGTTATTCACACCAAAAATACCTAAAAACCGCTATTTCATTAGAGGTTGCACTGTCAAAAATCCTTTATTAGCGGATTCGTACTTCATATTAGTTATCTGTGTGCCAAATGTTAGCCCGATCCGTCTAGTGGTTTGGACTAGGCGATAATGAATCAGCCTGTCAGTCAGGCCATGTTGTTATCATTGTATTATATAATATAATTATTATGCGGGGTGATTCACTAAGCGTGCTCATTTTTTTTGGTTACATTTTGCAAATTATCAAGTACCGATTTTAGAATTTTGAAGTGTTGTGAATGACAATATTTTCGAAAAATTACATTTTTTACAGCTTTGAAGAAGTATGATGTGGTGATACCAACTTTGTTTTCCAAATGAGAACCTATATGAAAAATTCCACGGATTAGCGAAGTATTACTTTAAATAACGTTTAGTGTTAACATTTTTGATTTTCGTCTACCCGTTGATGAGATTAATTAGAGGGAGAGTAGTGGAGTATCATTAATGCGGTGACATGACGCGCGGCGTTTTATTAGTGTTCCACTATTCACCCTACCTAAACTTAAAAGTATAATATCTTGTCAACGGGTGAACAGAAATCAAAAATGTCAACACCAAAATTTATTTAAAGTAATACTCCATTTAAGTATGGAATTTTTTAATGTAGATTTTCATTTGGAAATCAAAGTTGGTATCATCACATGATACTCCTTTAATATTGTGAAAAATCTAAGTATTCGAGAATATCGGCTTTAACTACACTTCAAAATTCTAAAAATCAGAATTTAAATACATGTAAAATTTATCCAAAAAAAGTGTGGTTTTTTTTCAAACTAAATTAAAGTTGTAATAATTTTAATTTTAATTATGAATCTTCCAACTAATTTTATATCACAATATCATACATTTTCAGAGTTTTTAGTATGTTTTAGGACTCGATGTATTAGTTTATTTAGTTTTTTGTGTAAATCGTTTTCGGCACTACGTTTTAAATTGATTTTAATACTCTCTAACCATTGTTTGGTGGTCGATCTCGTATAAATAATTATGCGTGTTTGTCATTTTCGAAATTTGATTTCATTTATTGTTTAAAACGCTCGCGGAACATTTTTTTTATTTGTATACCTAAAATGCGTAACGCCAAATTTTAAAATTCTATTCGCTCAATTTAAAATTATTTACCTAACCCTACACCATTTACCTTGACGCGTTTCAAACTTGAATATCCATATTAATATTTTCGTAGTTAGTAGTTATATACACATAGTACCGTTTACTAGCGGATACTGTTTAAAAATTTAAAACTTTTAGCCTAACTACAATATCTATAATATGATTAATACACGACGATTATTTTTGATTTATCGATTTTCGTATTATCGACCTACATTCTTAATACTATTCAATATTAATATTTAGTTACTTTGTGTATATTATCGTCTAGAATTTTCCTAATTTGTTGTATAACATTATAATAATAATATGAAATGAATGATATTCAAAAATTCGATTCAATGGACGTAAACGAGTCACTGAATTGCTGGTAAAACATATTTTAAACGTGTGCTAACGAGTCATCGAATTGCTGGTAAAACATATTTTAAACGTGTGCTAACGAATCGTCGAGTTGCAGGTAAAAAATTAGATATGTGCGCATACAAGTCGCACCGAGGTAGGTATTTGTGTATTATTTGTGGTTTAGTGCCATTCATGAGATAATGAGTGTTTTGCCATAGATTGGCTATTCTATATATTGGAACCACGTATCCAACCGTGATTGTAACATATCGTAAATGTTATTTGAAATACATTTTCTAAAAGTGAAAGAAAATTAAAGTTGAAAATATTATGTTATTTTATATTTTTGATTACTTATGTTATCAATTATATTTGATAGTTATTTTAGAGTAATAATGCATAATTCAATGATGTAAGTGTACTGACTGTGTGCTGTGTAGTCCTCATAATTTTGTTTTAATTCTGTTTTTTCTGTAGTGGGGCTATAGCCCTCTCAGATATTTGGTTCTAGCTATGCCTATGTATGTAGGGTTGCCATTGGTTATGGATAATGAAATTGTTATGATAAAAAAAATAAGCTATCATATAATGATTATAAAATATGACATTTAGTGTCATTTGTTAACTGCAAATATTTATATATTACAATTCGTGGGCAACAAAGGATAATGGCAGTGTTATGGACGGAAATCGAAACGGGGAGCCACGAGGAGTTACTGTTTATTTAAATTTGTTTTTCATTCAACACTGATAAAGGCTTAGTCGTGGGAGACAGCGAGTAACAAAGAAAAATATACTTCAAACATTCAACTGGACGATTGCGCTTAAATTATTCGGAATTTGGATCGATGAATTCTAAATAACAATTGAATAAAAATCATTTCAAAGTCATCTAGTTATTAAGTATATGGGATGGGCCGATCCATAAACCGATTTCAGTGGTAGCGGCTTTTTTTTTTTTTCAAAACCGTTATTCGTCCCAATATTTTCGGAGAAAAATTTTTATTAAGTCTTTGGATTATCAAAAACACAAACAAACAAAATCGTTTGATTTCAATATTAACTTATGGTCTTCGATTTTAAATACATAGGGTATGGGTTTTACATCGGTAGTATATATCAGAACATCGGATATCGGTAAAACGTAGTATCGGTCCAAAAAATGTGTTTTGGATAAGTAAAACCTCTAAACATTTTTTACCTACCACCAACACTCCCCTCTTTAAATTTGTTAAGAAAAATATTATGTAAAAAATAGAAGAGAAGTATAACGCGTAGATTAATTGTAAAATATGATTTTAAAAGAAATCCATTACGAACAGTGAAAGTAAATTTTAACATATTTTTGGTATGGCCGTAAACCGTAAAGCGTGTCTACTTAAACATCTACCTATTGCTGTAGAGTGCTTTTGTTAATATAATATTATGTTTCTACATAATATCGTGTTATATTAATTAAACAGTTACGCGTTTTAAAAACTT